GGTGCTGGGTATGCAGCTCATTGGTAGAGCTCTTGCCTACATGCTCAAAGACCTGGGTTTGATCCCCATCACTTGGAATAAAATGTTAAGGACAACTTCATTTTGTGGAGCTAAATGATCATAGCTAGTGGATGTGTTGTAATCAGCGATTGAAATTACTGATAGTAAATACCAAGAGCAAATGAATTCTGGGTACCAGTGAGAGAACAGAGGAAACTTCATTTAAGATTTGACAGTGCTCACATCATCCAAACTCAAAAAATGTTTTCAAGAATATGGTCCTAACATGCAGAATTACTATCAGCTGGAGACCTCCGGGTCCCTTGGCTAAAACCAATCTCCCTTTTTACGACTACTGAAGTCACCATGTAATAACAAACATACTGCATAGAGTGACTGGCAGTTCTGGACTCTAGGTTCAGCTGTCAGAGGCTGTGTAACTCTAGGCTTGTATCTTAAATGGTCTAGTAATCAGTTTGCTGGCATGTCAAATTTGAGAATTGGACTAAAATAGGGATTCTCAAGGAATGATCCCTGGGCCAGCAGTACCAGCTTTATTTGGGAATATCCATGAAATGTCCATGATCCAACTTTGCCTTCAATACAAAAATTCCCCAAGCCCTTAAGGGTGGGGCAGAACACTGTTTTAAAGAACCCTCTGGTTTGTTTGAATGCACATCAAAACATTATCACTCTCCATTAAAATTTGGCTTTAATATTTGGACAATTGAACCTTACCTCATAGCATCTGACTCAGAAGTGTTGTGTACCCGGACCCAGGGATTTAGCTCTTTGAAAGACTGCTGATGCTGTTGGTCAGACACTGCACTTTGCCAGCTACGAGCCTAGATCTTCTCTGTGCTCCAGTCCAGCTCTGGGTCCGTCAGCACTTAGGCTCTCACATGTCTCTATTTCCTCCTCTTTACTTAAGCAGCGTCTGGATAATAGTTATTAATGAGGACTTGTTTTTTTTTAAAACTTCTTAATTTGTAGAGTATGATAGAAAGGAATGACCCCAAATTCTTACAGAATGTGTTAATAGGAAACACCCACACTTTTGCTATTTAGTGTTAAAAACAACCCAGGGACTGGAGAGATAGTTCAGAGCAGTGTATTTGTTGTGCACATCTGAGTTAGAATCCCCAGAGCTTACTTAAAGCTGGGTGTGGTGGCACACATCTGTCATCCCAGTACTCTTAGGGAGAGCTAGGAGGCAGAGACAGGAGAATCTCCGGAAGCCTGCAGGCCAGCTAGCCTGGCATTTGCAGTGATCAATGACAAAGATGCTCTTAATCAAGTGCAGGACTAGCACCTGCTTGTCCTCTGACCTTCATAGGTGCGCTTATCTAGACACACAGCATTCACACATATGAGCATACATGTTCACACTACAGACACCATAAAATACACATTCTATGCATAATAAAAACCAAACAACCACATCCATTTGCTAAATGCTGCAGAAACAGTACCTTCAGATGGACAATCACAGCCAAGAGCTAAGGCCTGGCCCCCGTCCACTGCTCCATGTGTTGTCTGCTCCCCTGACACGGCTGATGGGAAATTAAGTTTGGTTTCTTTCTAAGATGCTAATTAATAAGGCACAGTGGAGACCCATATGTCTCATCTCCAGACAGTTTTTGTAATCCCACCTCTTCTTTTTTTCCAAGCTTTCTTCTTCCTAGAAACTTGGGACTGGGTTACACTCATCAAGGTATATTGTCTGCTAAATGCATGACAAGCCTCTGCCCTCTCAAATGAGTGACTCCGTTAGCTCATATTTCCCTTCTTGAAGTAGAGTTATGGATAAGATTCACTCTTTTCTGCTTATCCATAACTTGATTATTTTCTGTTGTCCAGTATACAGAAAACTAAAGAGCTAATGTTGACTATAATACCGTATCACTGTTACGTTAGTGAGTGCGCTGTTTTGGCTTTGGTTGTCTGTTGTATCCTCACAATAACTGTGTAAAGTGCCTCGTCAGTGTTCACAGCTTTGACAGATAGAGTCAGGAGAGTTAAGTCTTTCAAGACCACACAACTCCGAAAATATAGGGTACAGACTTGGACTTGGCTTTGCTCCCTAACAATAAATGTTCTCAATAAATGTATGTTGTGTAAATGAAGAAAATGCATTGTGCTATCTTCTTTTAAGAGTACATTTGTCAATTGTTTGAACACAATGCATTTTGGTCATGTTTACCCTACTCTTCTGCTCTTCCCTCAGTTCCTCCCAGATCTACCCCCGCCTCTCTATACCTATTGTATGTCCTTTTTAAAAATTTTATTTATATGAACATTTTGCCTGAACATATCTATGTGTACCATACACATGCCTTGTACGCACTGAGATTAGGAAAGGGCATCAGGTCCCCTGAGACTGTGCTAACAGATGCTTGCAGGACTCCACGTGGATGATAGAAACCAAACTCTGTTTTCCATGAGAGCAGAAAGTACCCTTAACATCTGAGCCATCTCCGCAGCACCACCCCTGCACCTCATCACTTTTAAAGTAACCCATCTAGTACAAATTGGACTGCCCATATTCTCCCTCCTGAGTGTGAGGCCATCACCTGGAGCATGGTCAATCTTTGGGGGCCACATCTTTAAAGAAAACTGACTCTCTGCCCTAGAAGCCATCAGCTGTCCATAACTCCTCAGAGGTAGAGGCTCACAAACTTTCGCTTCTGTGCTAGAATGTTGCCGGCTTCATCGTGTGCAGGCAGCCACAGCTGCTGTGAGCTCATGAGCGCAGCAATCCTGTCACATCCTGAGCACACTGTCTTTCTGACCCTGACTACTTAGACTCTTTGTGCTCCCTCTTCTGTGATGTTCTCTGAGCCTTGGCGAGGTGGGTGATACAGATGCCCATTTGTGTCAATCCACTGACACTAGCTTCTTAATGCTAGATTTTCAGTAATCAGAGAATCAGAAAGTTGAAATGACTCCACATGTTTTGTGTATGTGTATATATGTTCACACACACACACACACACACACACACACACACACACCTGCTTATGTAGAAGTAGTCAGCAACTCTAGGGAAAAGGCAGGTGCTGCCACATCTCAGAGACATTTTTGGATAAGCTTATCAGAAAATTTATCTTTATACAATGCTTTCCTAAAAGTTTTCCATTCTTTTTGAGACTAGTTCTCTCCCTGTAACTGCTCAATCTCAACATCATCTTCCATACATGACACATGATGTATTGCTATTCTCTCTCTCTCTCTCTCTCTCTCTCTCTCTCTCTCTCTCTCTCTCTCTCTCTTCCTCCCCCATTTCCCCCCCCTCCTTCTCTCCTTCAAACTGAGTAGGGGTGATTTCTTCAACTGCTTCTCACTTCCCTAATACACAATAGCAGCTTATTACATTGATGGGTAAAAGAGAAGAAGGAAGAAAAGAGAAACACGTTGCCTCGTTTTCGGGGTAAAGCATCTGTATGGTGCTCTAGGCACATGTTAGGACCATGTTTCTGGGGGACCATGAAAGGGTGCCCTGTGCAGTTGTCACTCATAAAGACATTGTGTTTTGTTTTCTGACATGGAACATACCCCCTTAATCTTGGACATCACATGGGGTCACAGGAAATGGGTCGAACAGCAAACCTGGTGCTTTTCTTCCAGGCTAAAGGTGAGGCATGGGCACTAGAGGCTCAGCACCAGTTTGAGCAGGCTAAGTGTGTTCTCCCGTGGACAAAGCTCGGGCTTAGCTCAGCTAAAACAGAAGAAACAGCTGCTCAAAGCTACTTTCTGTCACGCCCCGCTGGCAAGGTAGTAATTGCACAAAGACCTTTTTATTATAAGTTGATTTTCCTGAGAAATGAATTCAGAAAAATACTGTAAAGTGTTTATTTTTTGCTTGCCCTTTATTAACCCACATCTTGGGGTATTCCCCAGAGAAAGACTGTGGGTGGATGAAACCTCTCAGACCCACACAGATGCACGTGCACGATAGCCCTGGCTGGGAATGGCCAGGGCCAGGAGAAGGCGAGCTGGTACTGTTTAGACAGGGCATCGCTCATATATGGTATTTTGCCTAGAGAAGAGATTTAGGAATTTAGGCTGAGGAACCATTTGAGTGTGTAGAATTGCTGGCAAACATTTATATCTTAAATAGTATATAATAGTATATGTAGCCCTTTCCTGCGTTTAAAAAGCCATAGATTTGTCTAAATCAAAAGACCGTGCCTTTTGGCACATTTCTGTTCTGATCTTTCAATGAGGAAAGTCCCATAGCTCAGCCTGTGGACTCAGACCCTAAGGCCAGGACAAAGCCTTCCCGCTCCGCTGTGCTGGAACCAGGGCAGCATGCTAGAGTGAGGAAGGGAGCTAGGAGATTAAAATGTGGTTTTCAGGAGCATGATTCTGTCATAGCTCTGATTTCCTTTATATGGAGTACAAATACTGATGGAGAGTGAATATTTCTCTCTTTCGCATTTTTGTGGTCTTTGATACGTTTATTGAGGTCAAATGAAATCTGATATAGTAGGATTTATTATGAGTTGCTCAGTGGATACAACTCCATAATTACTGAGCTACATGGCAGTGCATAAAGCTGACAAGCAATTTATATGTTGCATCGAGGTGTGTATGGCAAAGGATATTAGTTTAATTGGGCGCCAAGATATAGTAGCCTTAAATCTGAAGCTCTGTGTGTTTAATATAATGCAGCGAGGCTTTGGAAGAAGCTTCTCAACGAGGGAGACACAGCTTCTGGAATATATAACAATTAGACGTTACTTTCTGGACCAGGACACTGAATACTGTTTCACGATGACACGTAGAATGCAGTGCAGGGGAAAGGGCAAAGCCTCTCACTCACAGGGTGAGAGAAAGGAACATTTAGTTTTCTGTTCTTTCTTTAAGAAAAAAGGTGAGATCTGGAAGGGGTTAGAGGTGGGTGGCTGTGCGGGCACCAGAACACCTCCAGCAGTGGAAAACAAATGCTTCTTGGCGACATCTGCTCCCTGTCTGATCACAGGCTCTCTTCTGTTTAGCAGGTTCAGGGGCACATGCCTCCGCTCATGATCCCAATTTTTCCACATGACCAGCGGACCCTGGCAGCAGCTGCTGCCGCCCAACAGGGATTCCTCTTCCCCCCTGGAATAACATACAAGCCAGGTAAGTGGAGAGCTGCGGCACAGTTTTGGAAATGCTCGGGCCCACATGTTTTTACTCAGTAGTCACAACAAACACAGGCACAGACAAGGGAGCTATGGATAAAAACACACATATAACAGCCCATTTTGAAGTAAAACCAGGGCTGGGGAGGCGGGGCATTGTAAGAACTAATTCTTGCTAAACTAAAATCTCTAGAACTTTGACTTTACTTTCTCATGTTTGAGTTTGTTCTGAACTCACAGATGAAGTCCTGTGTGGCTCTTGTTCCTCTCTCTTTTTCCTTTTTTTTTTTTTGCCGCCCGCCCCTCTTGCTCCTCTCTCATACCTACACCTTTTTATTAGCTGTGTCTGTGGTTGTCCACGGGTCTTTTCTTTCTCCCGTGAGCTTCCACACACTGGGAAACTAGTCACATACAGTAGAAAATGCTGCTGTTGTTTTTTGTAAGATTTCTCTCAGAATAAAAAAAAGTTAAAGCTGCTGATTTAATTAGCTCACCACTAATGGTAAAGTTCTTTTTGATTTTGGTCTAAATAATGAAGCATTCAGTAATATTCTTCATTCATCCTTGAACCTCAAAAAAAAAAAGCAGGTCACATAACCTTGTAGTGAAATATGCTTTGAGATGATTTAGCAAATGTTATGATTTTTCTTTTTTCCTCTGAGTTTACTGGACTCCTGGGGAATTCAATTAGGGGCATAATGGTTTGAAGCTCTTTCAGAGCCTCCTTGTAAACATGGCTTTAAATGTTTAAAGATAGGTTGCCAAAGGAATCCAATGTAAGAAAATAGCCAAGTACACAGAAGCCAACCTCAATTTCATTTGTGCGTTCTTTGTAAGTGACCCCAGCTCAGAAGTAGTGACCTTGTTCTGTTCATTAATAATTTCTGTGTCAAGTTCTTTTTAACACATTAACCTGATTATATGAACCACCTAGTCAGGGTACAGCCAGTCTGAAGGCAGCAGTTTCTTTGCATATGTGACTTCGAATGTGAACAAAGGCATTTAAATATGCCTAAGCCACAGATATAAACCACCTCGCAGAGATCCTACAGGAGCAGATGAAACCGCCCAGAAGCTTCGAGCATGAACACCTCACTTGTGTTTAGTAGGGAACTCTCTTCCCTGTGAGGAAGGAATCTGGGGAGGCTCAGGTGATCCAAGGGATGGATACCCGTGCTGAGGGACTGGTCCATCTAAGAGCTGACCAAAAAAAAAAAATCTTTAAACACAAAAAGGTCAAGGTAGGCATCTCAGATTCAAAAAAGGAAGAATGTGCTCTGAAATCAGAAATGATAGGTGTACAGTGATGTTGAAAAGTTCTGGCTTTTAAAACACATTATATTTATTTTTGCTTCGTTATTAAATCTGTGCAGATATTCTAAAATCTGAGGTACTGCTGGTTTCCACATTTTAGATTAGGCGTCCTGGTCCTGTATTCCCATGAGGCTCTTAGAAACCTGAGTGGAAGAAATTATGTCATTCAAATTATTAAACATTTGATTTCCTACAATGGAGTTTTCACAGCAAGTTACCCTTCCCTATAATGTTGGCCTCTGCAATCAGTATAAGAAAGCACATGTCCATTGGCGCTCTTGCTCTGAGTTAGTTCTTTATGACAACTTCATTTCGACATTGATGTAAACTGAGTTTATTGTTTCATCTTGATTCAGAGCTGGCATCCCTGACCCAGTTTGGGGAAGTCTTTCAGTGTTTGTCTGAAATCAACAGACATTATCTGTTGGTTTAATATTCTTACCGCTAATGTTCTCTGCAGCTCCAGATCACACATGGGCGTTGTTCTTTGCTATTGTAGACATCTACTGTATGGTACTTAATTTGATTATAGCAATGGCGCCATTTCTCAGCGGGTAGATATGGCTATTTGTTCATTGAATTAAGGTTGTTTCTCTCCCACAGGCGTTGATGAGGCTGTACCATGTAAGTGAGAAGTTATAGATGGGAACAATTTGGTACAGGACTTAGTGAGTTTTCAGTAAACTCAGAGATGTGTGCTTGGATAACAAAGATGTGCTTGGTTAGGCTGGCTAACCCTGTTGAGAGCAGTACAGTGGGGTCAGGTTGTAGGAAGAGTCTTAATCACAGGCAAGCTGCTATCTAAAGGTATTTCCTATTAACCTCAATATTATATCAAATAATTTATACAGAATTTTAAATCCTTTAGTATTTTGGTTAATCTAAACTTTATTATAAATACAAGCTATGTCTAAAATGGATTAAACACTCTTAAGCTGTGAGTAGAGAATTTACAGATTTGTGAAACTAAGCCAGGCAGTCTTTGGTCATCAACAGGAGTTGGGGAGAACACTATTGGACTGGAATCTGGACAAGCAAACCTTTTGCCCCAAACCGAATCCTGATCACTTCACTTGAAATGTATATGAGCAACTATAAGATTGGAGAGAGATACACAAGCCTGAAGACAGTGGCATACATTCCTATCTGGGTCCCCTAAGTGAGAAAAGGAATAAGTGCTTTCTTGGTCTTTATAAAATGGAACATAAAATCCTTTCTTTTTGCTTCTTCCATCTCTCCCTCCTGGAACTGCCATATTTTCCTGGTGTTTTTGAGCTGAGGAAACTGATTCACCTGACTGAACAACTGTCTTGCCAGAAGCAAGGACCATTGTGGGTTGTCTCTCACTGCTTGTTGAAATTGGCCAAATCGAATCCTGTGTTAAAGTAGTGTGGACACATGGACACATTTAGGGCTCTGAGCCTTCTCTCCCCTCCAGGTGATCTGACTGTATCTCTGGAAGTTGTAGGGTGCCGGCTATGCTGCCCACCACATGAGATCTTCCATCTCCAAGTAGTTGAGAAAGCTAGCTGCCAGGATACGGTATAGGAAGCATCTTCAGGGGGCATTTCTCAGACTGGCATTTATAGAAGTAGCTTTAATAGGTTCTAATCCCTCAATTTTATTCTTATTTGGTCCTATAATTAGAGACATCTTTCAGATAGGGATTCACTAGGGCCCAGAACATAAGTTGTTCTGCTTGCTCACATTTGTGAGCCCTAAATGCAACAATCAGAGAGACAGTAACCACATTTGAGCATGGATGCCTGAAATCAAAGGAGAAAACCCCTTCACAGTTGCCAGTATGTCCATCAGGGTTGGCTAACCTGAAAAATAAAACCATGTCTAGTCTGCTTTGTATTCCAAGGATAGGCCAGTTGGCTACTGTCTTACGTAGTTGGGATTTTAAAACCATTATGTCTGACCAGCACCCTTGACTTTTCTCTCAGAGATTCTAAGAGCAGAACATATGCTTGTGCCTAGACCCTGCACGTACTCCTTCTTCTACGCTGTAGCTAATGCTTATTATATGGCTGTGGTGTAAGAAAAAGTCAGACACAAAATATAGAAATTGAATATCCACATGTTTTGCAAGTGGGCATCCAGTTTTTCTCACACAATTTGTTAGAAAAACCACCCTCTTCCTTTTAATGGTTGTGACACCTTCTCAAAAATAAATTGAGTGTATGTGTGAGGTTCTGTCTGTCTGTTCCCTCTGCTGTGCCGGCCAGCTTGTCTCGGTCAGTACAGGCCTGCGGCTTTGCAGTCTGTTCAGGTGGCGCAGCTCCTCTGCCTTTACTCATCTTTTTAAAGATTGTTGCAGTTCTGAGGGACTCTTGGAATTAGTTATGAGCTTAAAAACTGCTCTTTTCTATTTTGTGTAAAGAATTGTTGATAGGGATTGCCTTGAATATGTAGATTTCTTTGAATAGTCTTAACATCGTGATATTGTTGTCTTCTTGTCAATACAGAAACTTCTTTCTGTGTATATCTGTCTCTACTTCTTTCATTAAAAATATCCACTGACAAATGAAGATTGTACATACTTATGGTGTCCCCCATGGTGTACGTTTTGATACATGGATAGATTATATAATGTTCAACCGGGTGAACCTACCAATCTCCTCAAACATTTGTAATTTTGTTTCCATGCTGGAACACTTAAAGTCCTTTCTTCCTTCCTGAAACACATACTTTCTCTGTATTGTGACCTGCAGTCATTGTGCTGGCCAATGGGATGCCAGGGTTTGTTTCTCCTAACTGCATCGAAGTGCTTATTGATCAAACTGTCCTCATGCCTTCTTCCCTTTGAGTTTCCATGACTCTTTGACAATTGCTGTTCAGCCTCCAATTTCTATGAGATCTACTGACTTTAGATTTCTACATATGAACAGGAGCATGCAATCCTTGTCCTTCTGTGCTTTGGCTTGTTTCTCTTAACACAATGGCCAGTTCCGTGCCTGTTAGCACAGATGACACACTTTGTCCTTTTATGGTTAAATAGTGCTCCATGCGTGTGTCCACATTTCCCCCATTTTTTTTTCAGTTGGTGGACATCTAGGCAATTTTATGGCTTCATTATTTATTTCAACAGTGTTTTATAGTTTTCAGGGTGTAACTCTTTCCATCTCTTTGGTTAGATTTATACCCAGGTGTTAAATTCTTTTAGGCAGGATCATAAATGGAATTTCTTTCTTAATTTCCTTTTGGCTTATTTATATTTACTCTTGGCATAAATAACTAAATTGAGAATTTTTCTGTTAATCCTAATACGTGTATATGGTGTATTATATATACATATACACATATATATGAATTTGTGTGTGTGTGTGTGTGTGTATTCCAAAATAGATTATTTTTTACTTTTCTTACCAGTTTGGATGTTTTTCCATCTTTTTATTGTGCAGTAATGCTGGATCGGGCTTTTAAGACAGTAATGACCGGCACCAGGGAGATGGACATTGTTGTCTGGTTCCCGGTGTTTCAGGGGAAGCTTTTAGTTTCTTGCCATTGAGTACAGTGTTAGCTGGGTATCTTTAACTAACTCTTGGTCATTCTGATTTTTTTTTAATTTAGAGTTCTAGAGTCCTTATCATGGAATGGTTAAGCATGTTTGTTATTTAATTTTGAGATGATCATGCAGGACTCCCACACACACCTTTGTTCTGTTATGTAATGCATTTAATTGATTTGCTTAGATGGAACTACCTTATAATTTCTGGGATAAATCTTACTTGTTATGGCAAATAATACTTCCAATATTCTGTTGGCTTGAATTTGCTCATGTTTTCTTAAGAATACTGCATTTACATTCATAAAGAATGTTGGTTTTAAATTTTTTTTCCCATGACATACTTACCTGTCAGCAAGCTATCTGAGGCCTTACAGACTAGAGAAGAACTATTCTCTTCCACTTTCTGGAAGGGTTCATAAAGGTGCTATAAATGCTTCTTCAGTATTTCACAGAATGCTGGGGAACCCTTCTAGTCCAGTCACTTCTTTGTTGGGGTTTTGATCACTAATTCAATTCTTTGTTTGTTATAGATCTGTTGAGATTTCCTATTTGAACTTGAGTAGTTAGGTAATTTTTGTGTTTTCTGTTTCTTCTGAGTTGTTTAATTGGCTGGCATACAATGCTTACAGTTGTTAGCTGATTTTTCTTTTATTGCATACCATTTGTTGCCAAGATAACCCCATGTGTGTGAGTAATCTCATTAATTTTTATAACTACCCTAAGATATAAGTGGGGATAAGTAGTGTTCTATTTTATTAAATGAAAAGAATAAAATAAAAATTTTAAGTGTTAATTAAATTTTCTGGGGCTTCACATCTCAAAAACAATGGTTTTAGCATTCAGGCTAAAGTTCTCCAGATGGATATTTCATGCTCTTGGGAGAATAATCTAAATGGATATGATTTTAAGGAACTCTTAAACTTTTTGTTTAAAAAATAATTTTGCGTGAGTTTACCAAAACAACATCTTACAAAGCTAGCCATTGCTCTTTTAGAATATTTCAAAGTAGGGGTGTATCACCAACATTGGAACACAGATTGATGCAATCCATATATCTAGAATGAAAGCATTTCTGTAATGTTCCCACCAGTGCCTCTATTTTTAGTGTGAGTGGTGAGGTCCAGCAAGAAGATATAATCACCGGTATAGCCCAACCTGTGAGAACATCAAGGTTTATTTCCTGTGTCTTCTCGTGTATGGAGTTTCTGTCACAGATGAGTCCTAACTACACATGAGCTTTGGGTTGCTATCTGAGTTGACTTCTTATGGGGATGGTTCATTCAGATTCACTCACTTAATTGCCATCAAGAAAATGCCATGATTTTCAGGTGGTTGGCCAAGGGTCTAAGATGCAGCCACAAAATAAGTGATGGAATAAATATGGCCCATGAGTTTTAGCTTTTTAAGAGGCATGTAGAACAATATATGTGATAGTAAATGAATAAGTAAAACCAGGCAAAAAATATCTTTTCACTTGTACTAGTAGTTGATGAATAGAAGAGGAATTTAGCAGGAGAAATGAGAATATGCTGGTTTCAAAAATGCATATCATAATGTTTTCTTTTCTTGTATGCCCTGAACAAAGTGAAAGTAGTGTGTTAGTTAGAGCTTTAAATACTTTACTTATTACCTGCAAACCTCTGCTACAGTGCAGCATCATGCAGGGTAAGTATGGACCTGCTAAATCTTCTCAGAGGACCAAGAGATGATGTACAAATTGACACATTCAAGTCTGTATTAGAGACTTTTGTGTAGTGACAAGAACAATGGTACCCCATGAAAGTACGGCCCATAGTTTTGTCAGTGTCCTTGTGATGCCACCATAATAATTTGTGAAGTTAGGGATGTGTAACATACTGGTCTTCTGTGTAAGAGGGTGGAAATGAAATAGGAGACTTTATTCTGTTACTGAAGAATCTGAGTCCTCACTCCTAGTTCTGATTTTTTTCTTTTTCCCTTCTACTCTTCCCAAGTCTCAAAATGACTTTTACAATGTGTTAATGTCTATGATTTAGAAATCTAAGAATCTACAACTCTCCCAACCCCTTGCCTCTCTGAAGAACGAAAATAGATGGACAGAATTTTGCTGTGAGCTTTTGACTGTGTTTTTCTGATTTTTTAAATGACTCCTTTTAGAAAGTAGGATTTATATATGAAATGTACCCACTAAAATATTCTGGGAGGTATCTAGTGTGTTCCAGGTTCTTGGGATAAGTTCGCCTCCTCTAGTGATTAATTAAATGCATTAAGGTTTGGGCTTATCTCAGTGTCTCTGTAAATTTAAGAATTTACTCTCTCTCTCTCTTTCTCTCTCTCACACACTCGGGACTCTTGGTGTGGAGGGAATGCCAAAGGAATTCTGCCTGTTTTGATGAATGAATCCAGTGCCAGCCACATTTATGCAAGTCTCAATTCTGTTTTGTGCTCACTCTACATTCATAGCAAGATGGTCAGAAGATGGACTTATAGAGTGACCACTGCTTTTCAGATTGGTGTTTGGGGACTGTCTTTTTAGACTTGAGGTAACAAGGGCCAGATTACAGTCATGTCTAAAGTGAACCTGTTCCAACAGGCTGCCTCTTTCTTTGTACAAATTTAAAAAGAATGGTCCTCATGCAAACATTTCACATCCAGAAACAAATTTGAAAAAAAAAAATTGCTGCAACATGTTGGCTGATTCCCTGCCAAGTCAGTCACTGCAAACTTTCCTTGATTGACTTTTACAAAGAACATTAGAGTGTGTAGAAGGAAGTGTGTGACTTTATCACAAACTAAACTTGTATTGCCCTGAAATCCCCCTTCCTGTTACTTTTTTTTTTCTTCTATGGTTTACCCTCATCCCCCTTCCCTGTCTTTATACTCCCCTCCTTCCTCTAACCATCCTTGGTGATATACTCCATTGCTCTAATGTATTCATTTTGACTTTTAGTACTGATACAATGATGGGTTCTGGAGAAATAGCTTTCTGAAGATCTATTCAGATATGCAGATTCAAACCCGCAGAAAGGTTAAAAATATTTTGAAAATATGCTTGTCAACAGTGGAAAGAAAGCTGTTTGTAGCCAGCAGGTGAGCTGGAGAGTACTACAGGGTGTGGTAGAGATAGTCATAAATTAACTGGCAAGCCAGAAACCATGTAAAAAGCCGACTATTTCACGGCACAGTGGCATGACAGCTATGGAGAAGGAGTGCCCTGGGGAATTCTTTCAGAGTTTGATTTTTTAAAATATGTTTGACATGAAAAATGTTTTAGTACAAATAAAGCCACTGGTATTAAACTTCCAGGGAGGGGGTTGTGGTGTAGAGTTGCATGAATAATGCATGACATTTAAAGAAAGAACAGCTTTAAAATGTTTGGGGAGGAGGTCTGTGCTGATGGGTGGAATGGTTATTTTTTCCCTCTATTTTTGAAACATCATTAATTCAGTATCATTTGTGTTTTTTTTAAAAAGCTCATAAGATATCCACCAAAAGGAAAAAAATACCGTTTGACTTAGATCAAGATATTCTTTCTTCAGATAATTTAGTTTAAATATCAAGACGATCAGTAGACTTATTTAAGCATAAAGTGATAGTCATTTGCTATAAAAATAATTTTGCTTAGTTATCTTTTTTAAAAAGCTCATAGAGTAGGACAGACTCAAATCAACCTCATGGAAGGGGAAAAACAAGGTCAGATATTTTGAACATTACTCCATAGGAGACCGGCACAATGTGGCGTTAGCGAGTGCACTGCGGCAGCACCCCGTTTGCAATCAGAAGCCAATTGTTACTGAACTGTGCACAGGCACACACTGTGCTCAATGGTCTGATGAGGTATTATGGATATGACGCAAAGAGACTGTGCAGATCAGAAGCTAACAATTTGTTAAAAGTGAAAGCGACTTAACATTTACATTGGGCCAGCTGAGTAGCACTTTACATGGCAAGCAGGCCGCGTTCCAAGGAACCAGGGGTACCAGGCGAGCTGCAGGTGTGCGCGCCCATGCAGACAAAAACAAGAGGTTCTCTTGCTTTCTGGTTGACAACCTCAGTACCTGGAATTCTTCCTGCAATGTCTCTTCATTATTACATTCCGTGTTCAGTGTGGAAAAGTTCATGCAAAACAGCATGATTATTATACATGTCAAAAATGTGTGGGGGAACAGCCTATTAAAATATAGCCTAGAGATAGTACATAACACTGACTTTAAATAAGTAGCTGGAACCAGAGTGCTACTACATTAAGTCATTGACATTGTGTGATTCATCCACAAATATTAATTTTTAGTTCACATAATGCCATTCCAATATGTCCCTTATCCCTTTATCTTGGCTCTTTGGGGTTCTGGTCATGGCCTGTGTTCTCAGGTCACAGGAGGTGTTTTGATCTCCTGTGTAGGTGTTGGCATGGTCTTGAAACACTCACTCCCAGGTTTTCAGTGCAGACAGTCCATGCAAAACGTGTAGTTATTTAATTATTATCACTAAAAGGATTTGGTCAGTGCCTGTGTGCCTGATTCTACACGAGGCTGCCCTACTCTAGTACTGGAGGTTAAAATAAAAGACACAGATTTCCACTGTCAGTAAGGTGCCAGCATTTCACAAAGTGCCTGCAGGTAAGATTAGCCATATCAAAGAGGATGTTTTTTTAATCATGTTATTTACTTTTCATGAAATAACACTTAGCATTATGGTCAGTCACTAGCAAATAATCTTTTTGGGACTCTTAAGACTACACTTTACCTACCAAGCTCAAACTTTGTTTCTTCTAAGAGAAAAACCTCTTTTCACAGTGCACTGAACATCAGCCTGGCTTGAAGATTTTTTTTTTTGACTCTTAAAAAAATGATGTATTACAAGATTTGTAGTGGAGCGAACATGCTTGAATTGCACATTTAATTTTTTTCAACATCACATTCATGTTTTGCCAGTTTGCCTACCAGCTATCTGTTAACAAAAAGTTCCAAGGCGGCAGCGCAAGCCTGTGCCCAGCTAAGCCTTTTGTTTCTGCAGATGTTTGGGCTTAGGGCAATGTTGTAAAGCTCAGGCGAGCCAAGGACCATGTTTCTACTTGTCTGCTGCGATTCCCCGTGCATTGTCTAAACCTGTGCGCATTGTTCTTTCCGACAGGTGATAACTACCCCGTACAGTTCATTCCGTCAACAATGGCAGCTGCTGCTGCTTCTGGACTCAGCCCTTTACAGCTCCAGGTAAGTGCCAGGAGGTGAAAAGAATGTGGGAGAAGGGCCAGTGCTTTAGTGGAAACCTGCAAGCCAGCTGTATCCTAAATAATGGCCCGAATGTTAAATCATGTTTTAATCAGAGTCTAGAGAATTAACACCTTATGTACTTAGTGCACTGGAAATGGAAGAGAAAAGTGCCAGTTCCAGCCATCTTTAAAGGAACCCCGATGTCACAGTTTGGTACTGTATGCTCTCTTTCAGAAAGTTAAGAGTTTTACATTAAGGCTAGTCATTGAATATGTTACCCTTTTCCTTATCAGTGTTTCAGCTGTGTTTCCATTATGCACAAATATACAGATTAGCTTGTCCACCGTCAGTTTTAGACTAGAGACATTGCTTGGCCTTTTCCTCCTCATAGCTCATGGAATAAGGAGTCATTATTCTGAGTTGCTTTGACTGTTTAGGTAAATATAGAAACACTGTTCCCGAGAGTGTAATGTGACATTGTTCTCACCAGGGCTAAAGGTCTAGGCATGAAACCCAACTTAGTTCAGGGTCAGCATCTTTTGTTTATCAAACTAATCATTTTTGGAGGCTGACCAAAAAATTATTTGCACCTTACATTCCTCATAGTAAAATGAAGTATTTTGAATAGGCCTGGGTGGCCTTTACACAGTTCTAACAACCCCACTAGAGCCATAAATTGACTTTAAATATGAATATATTTAGTGGTAAAAACAAAGAGTCAAAGTTTTAGCATTTGATTAGTTAGAAATACAGGATAAGTTAAATTTCCACACAGTTCAAAGTTCCTTAAAGACAGTCTTTGTTTGATTTTATTTGAGCTTTCCTTTTGAATCTCGGGAGGAGCTTCTAGACAGATAGGGTTTTTGTGTAGCTACCGCCTGTGAGACGTGGCCATAAACACAGGCCACTGCCGTAACAACGACGAAAACAAACAAACCCCAAACACTTCAAACATTTTCAGTTGGGGCAGTAGGAAGAATTTTTGCAACACTGGAGAGGTTTCTGTCACAAGCCTCACCTTGGCAGCATAAAATTGTCCTGACTAGAGGTACCTGGGACAGGGGCATCTTGGCAGCGGGATGTCCCACTATGTCTCTTCAGGGACATTTGCCGTACACACTCCCAACAGCGGGCGCCCAGGGGAAGATCGGAAAGGGGCCTCCCATTGGAAACTCTACCCCAGTTCTCTTCGCCCGGCTGTGACTGTGCTGTAGACGCTTTCTTAAGTTAGAGACAGGGGTGTCCTCCCTGGCTGCTCCTCTGCCCAGTTTCTGTACAACAGAGGCTGGGTCTAGGCCTGTGTTCCTTCTTTTGATGTGGTCTATACCCTGCATTGAATTCCGTGTTGTCTCATGAGTTCTGACAATATGTTTTGTCTTTTTTTTTTCTGAATATGCCATTAAACAGAAGGGTCATGTCTCCCACCCACAAACTAACCCAAGGCTAAAGGGCATAAGTGACCGTTTTGGCAGGAATTTGGACACCTTTGAACATGGTGGTGGCCACTCTTACAACCACAAACAGATTGAGGTACGAATGCTTCTGTTGGTACTTCTTTGGGTGGGGGACTGGATGGTTCCAGCATATTCTAGGCCCTTTGAAAAGTGAGAAACAGCCTGAATGCTAAAGTTGATCTTTTTTGTTTCATTCCTAAGGATACTTTTCTTTTTTTTTCCTTTAGAAAAAAAGGAAAACCTAACCCAAAGCCCTTAAACTAGTTATGTTTTGCCATGTTTTTGTGAGTGGTTTCAAAGCTGTCTTTCCACACTCCTTCCAATTCTTGTGTATGCTGTTGTAATATGTTTAACAAATACTTAACCTTTACAGATCGTTTTCCATTTGACCTTACAGTCCCCTGTAACCTTGATCAACTATGGTTCTGACTGTATAGTTCTACAGCGGAGGGGCAGAGAGATCCAGACAGTCTATTACAGCTGTTAAATACTCTGGGTGTTGGGGTGACTACCCACAGTTGCTAACCCTATCTAAGCTGGTTTCTTTAGTTTTCTCTGGCTGAAGGTGGGTGCCTGGGCCTGGCTGGGCTCACAAGTTTCTTGGATGCCCTTAAAGTGTTTAACCACCCAGAAAAATGCTCTTTCGTGTTGTTGAAAATTTATGCCCTCTCTGTCTGTGTCTCTTTAGAAGATGACGTCCTTCTCTGCACGGGAACTCAGCCCTCCTCTCTGTGGTGCCACACTGGGTCCCTCTCCTGTGTCAATCATTAGCATCTCTCTCTGGGACTGTCAGATATTGGAGGGCTGCCAGGGAGCTACTGGTTTTAAAAAGAAAGATTAATTTTCTGGGTTAGATCAAATACCAAACTTTATATTCTAACCCAGATGAGAACCTTTTCCTAATTCTCTACTCTGAAAACACTCAGTGTAACTATGCTCAGCCCTTTGGTCCTGTCTGTGTACATACATCAGTAATCTATGACTTTGATATCTCCTCTGCCACTTTTCAACCCACCTGTTTGGAAAATGATGATAAAATGATGGGGTGATCACACCTAAGAAGAAGGAGGACAAATAAAAGGCCACCTTAAAATGTCCCAAAGACAAGCTGCAGTACTCTCTGTTACTTCCCAGTGGTGGGCGCAGGAGGACTGGGCTTTCCACTCTGCCATGACTAGACTCAGATGAGCACAACACCTGCTGTCTTCTACACAGCCAGAATAGAGTTCTCTCAAAGGCCTTTTGCTGGCTATAGAAATGCACCATGTCTTTGGGCAGTGTGAAAATCAGCTTGATCCAGAGAACTAAAGAGAGGTGAGGGGGGCATCTGTGTGACGGTAGGTAGCGGGGTGACACACTCAAGACGCACAGCACAAGAGTTGTAAGTGCTAGGAGATTGGGAAAGCAGGTGACCTTGGCTCACTCTTTGCCTTTCAAAGGTCCTCTCTAGGGATATTGTGTTCTGAGCTTCCTCCTTCCTTTAGCTAGGTTTTTACCAAATCTCTCCCGTTACCTCATGCTTCACCCCCGATATCCTCCCCCACAGGCACAAATGCTTGTTGTGTCAGATCTGGCTTCTGGAACCCCTGGCGTCATGCACAGGGGTACCATAGCTTTCCAGAGCCACAAAGGTGCTGACTGAGAAGCTAGGGACATGTCACATATCTGTCACTTGGGCCAGATAGCAAACCCATTCTATGCAAGAGCTTTTATAGCTTTGTAGTTTAAGTGTATCTGGTCTGAGAGTATCCTGGGATTTTATTTATACTATGTTCTCTTGCCTCCCTTAAAAAATTTGTTTATTTATTTAAAATTTTCACGAGAAGTTGGTTGGTGGTGGTGCACACGTTTAATTCCAGTGCTCTGGAGGCAAAGGCAGGTGGATCTCTTTGAGTTTGAGGCCAGCCTAATCTCCAAAGCAGTTCCAGGACAGCTAGGGCTACTCAGAAAAACCCTGTCTTGAAAAAAGAAAGTTAATTTATTGTAATGAACTCACAAATAAAAGCATCACATAGTTGGTTTAAGGAAGCCACTCCCAAACTCCCCGAGTCTCAGTGAACTTCACACAGTTACTTTGGCCATTTAAGCTTCAACTAGGGTTCTATACTTTCACTGTCGGCTAAATGTTTATGCACTTATGCACCACAAAAAAGAAAAAATAAGTACAGCAGAGCTGAAACTATAAAACTGCTAATTTTATATCCTCTTTCATAGCTCATGTGTCCTTTTGCCTGCGTTCTGTCTTTTCCTTGTTACCCAATATTACCTTCTCTTGGTTTTCTTCCTAAATGTTATACTGTATCCACATTTTATAATTGTCTGTGTATAGAGGTGTATACCTCATAGATTAAATCTGATTCTGAGAAAGGATATGTGGTTTTACCTTTCCATCAAAATATTCTTTTCCTGCATGTCCACAAACCTTGATGTTTATTTCTGTGCTGCACTGGCTGTGCTTGTGTGAGAGGCAGGTTTCCCAGGCTTCCTGGCTTGAGATGGCATATTTATCAGGATATCTTTAAACGCCACAGCAGAGACCTGTATCTAAACTGCTGGACAGTACTATTTAGAACAATATTAGAATATTTAGAGGAAAAACTTAATAATAACTTGCTTCACTGCTGTTACATCACCGCCTCTGTAAGCTGGGGCTTTCTTTCTCTCTCTGACAGGCTAAAATGTCATGGTTTTGTCAGTCATTGGGGTCATGAGAAGCTGTGCCAGTGCCTGGCTCTCTGGGAGGAGCACGCTAACGTACTGGCCCTTAGCCAACGCACGCTCAGGACTCGCTTTCTCTACCCCCTGACTTTCCTTCAGAAGTTGTCATTTCAAATGTCAGTAAGTCTGCACTTTAGCAGCACTAGCTACACCCTAAAGTCTGAAAGTTTGCATCTAGTGGAGAAAGGCATAAAAAACTGAATGACCCTTCTGACATTAGCATATTCCAGTTTGTCTTAAATTAAGGAAGACACTGAAAGCTATTCTGATCTAAGGCCTGGTTGTCTCTGCCTCAGGGGCACAATATCAGGAGAGAGGAGGCCAAAGGTGCTGTTTTTAGTTAAACAGTTCAGCAGATGGAGGGACGAATGCTCATATATCTGAAGGCTGAGGGGCTTGAATCATTAATTTTGATAATGTATTTAACCCTGGGAACAATCGGAAACTGTAACTCTAAGGTTACAATGCTTTTGACCTTTCCAGAACAGAGGGCACTTTCCATGGTAAACAATATATTATATTGCTACTTACTCCGGGGCTCTCACCGTATACATTTCTGGACCACTTGCCATTTGCTTTCCGTAGCTGTGTTAGCACTGGTCCTTAAGTAAGTCAAAAAGAACGTTCAGGAAAGGGGACTAGAATAATGAGGTGGTCATGTAAATATGGCCTTTAAATAGACACGATCTTAGATTCTGTCTGAAGAAAATACTGTCTCTGAACCTGACTTCTGGATTATATTTTTTATTTAAAAGTGTTTTCAGTGTATTGATTCATTTCATGTAGTTACTATCATTATGATAGATCCTAGGGTAATTTTGCTTTGTTTTGTTTTTAATTGGGAGCAATGTTGTCTCGTAGTTGCAGCTTATATTAAACACAATCTGGTACCATGTGCAAAGTGATACACCTGCCTCTTGCCTTCTTATTAAATGACGCATGCTTCTCTTTAGCAAATCCAGCAGTTAAACACCACACAGCTTAAGAATTTCTAATTAAAATATCTCCACATGTCAGCATATTGGTAATGTATTATTTTAATCCATTTATTTTGTTTATGAAACAGTGACATATGTTTAGATTGTGAAATATATGATCCTTAAAAATCATTTTATTGAAGAAAATTAATTCCTACAGTACTGTGTGGGTAATGTGTTCACTCACCCAGTCAGTCACTGGCAATGCTGCCAGTCTTAATGTCGAGTCGGCTCCCAGCTTCGGCATGCGCAGTCTTGAAACCTCACAGTTCTTTTTCTTATCATTTTTTTCTTCCTTTTTCCTCACTTATGAATTTAAACTTGCTCTTCCCCATACACTGCTGTATATATCTGTTACCTCTTTAAAAATACAATAAATGGTGGGAGTGAATATTAATGTAAAAATCAAAATTAAAACCAGCTAGCTACCTTTTCAAAGTTAGACAGTAATTTGTTTGTCAGTGGGGAGATGCTTGGGTCAGCCCTGAGATAAAGTGACTGTCAGCAGTTATTCCTCCAAGACAAGTAATTTCCCTCAATGCATTGCTGACAGATTGCTCACTTCTCTGAATCACCAGAGGAAACAAACTTAATATTGTCACGGGCAGTTTCTGTCTTCATTAGCCCCCGAGAAGGATTTTCCAGCATTCCAAGCCCACCAAGCTTTAGTTGGAACATATTTTAGCAAACTGGTTCTTATCGTGGTAGCATAAGTAGTAGCCTAAATGGAGGAATTGGATGTGGAAATTCAAAAAATATCAATAGAATTAGGTTTTCACGTTTGTTGGTTACTTTGAATGGCTTAGGGGGGAAGTCTCGCCACGTTTATAAAGATGGAAGAGGACATTGAAGGTTTTTCTAAAATGAAAAGGAACACATTTGTTATATAAACAACACTGTCAAATTCAATGTTTCATGTGGAAAAAGAAGCAGTGTCCATTTGTGTGGGAGAGTCTCCATTGCTAATTTAGCTCCATCTTCATCTGTTGGCTGTTGTGTTTAGGGGCTCTCTGAGTACTGGGACCCTGTCTTCTTTTTTGGGAACTGTAAACCAGCTTCATCATGGGGATGGGGACAGTAGTGCAAGTTAACTTTGCTGGATGGGCTTGAAAGCTGAGACAAAATTATCAGAGAGGGGCAGTACTACCTACCCAGTGGAGGGAATGGGAATTGTTGACTCAGTTTGTCTTGAAGATACCAACCAAGGAGCTGCGCTTTGAGGAGCAATGCTTGCCTCTTAATCAGCCCACACTCACCCTCTCAGCTTCTTTTCTTGACTTTCAGGGGACACGAAAACTTGAGAGAACCTCAGCAGCTGGATTCAATGTGCCTTGAGCTAGCAGATTCAGACCCTGAGCTCTAGCTCCTTATTTGGTGTTTA